AAAATATTGCTCGGGCATGCAGGAGTGTAATCAGGAAGGCCAAATCACACCTGGAGTTGCAGCTAGCAAGAGACGTTAAGAGTAACAAGAAGGGTTTCTTCAGGTATGTTAGCAACAAGAAGAAAGTCAAGGAAAGTGTGGGCCCCTTACTGAATGAGGGAGGCAACCTAGTGACAGAGGATGTGGAAAAAGCTAAATGTACTCAATGCTTTTTTTGCCTCTGTCTTCACCAACAAGGTCAGGTCCCAGACTGCTGTCCTGGGCAGCACAGCATGGGGAGGAGGTGGTGACCAGCCCCCTGTGATGAAAGAAGTGGTTTGCGACTATTTAGAAAAGCTGGACGAGCACAAATCCATGGGGCTGGACGCGCTGCATCCGAGAGTGCTAAAGGAGTTGGCGGATGTGATTGCAGAGCCTTGGCCATTATCTTTGAAAACTCATGGTGATCAGGGGAGGTCCCGGATGACTGGAAAAAGGCTAATGTAGTGCCCATCTTTAAAAAAGGGAAGGAGGAGGATCCTGGGAACTACAGGCCAGTCAGCCTCACCTCAGTCCCTGGAAAAATCATGGACCAGGTCCTCAAGGAATCAATTCTGAAGCTCTTAGAGGAGAGGAAAGCGATCAGGAACAGTCAGCATGGATTCATCAAGGGCAAGTCATGCCTGACTGATCTAATTGCCTTCTATGACGAGATAACTGGCTCTGTGGATGAGGGGAGAGCAGTGGACGTGTTGTTCCTTGAGTTTAGCAAAGCTTTTGACATGGTCTCCCACAGTATTCTTGCCAGCAAGTTAAAGTAGTATGGGCTGGATGAATGGACTATAAGGTGGATAGAAAGCTGGCGAGATCATCGGGCTCAATGGGTAGTGATCAATGACTCCATGTCTAGTTGGCAGGCGGTATCAAGTGGAGAGCCCCAAGGGTCGGTCCTTGGGCCGGTTTTGTTCAATATCTTCATAAATGATCTGGAGGATGGTGTGGATTGCACCCTCAGCAAGTTTGCAGATGACACTAAACTGGGAGGAGAGGTAGATATGCTGGAGGGTAGGACTAGGATACAGAGGGCCCTAGACAAATTAGAGGATTGGGCCAAAAGACATCTGATGAGGTTCAACAAGGACAAGTGCAGAGTCCTGCACTTAGGACGGAAGAATCCCATGCACCGCTACAGACTAGGGACCGAATGGCTAGGCAGCAGTTCTGCAGAAAAGGACCTAGGGTTACAGTGGACGAGAAGCTGGATATGAGTCAACAGTGTGCCCTTGTTGCCAAGAAGGCCAATGGCATTTTGGGATGTATAAGTAGGGGCATAGCCAGCAGTTCGAGGGACGTGATCATTCCCCTCTATTCGACATTGGTGAGGCCTCATCTGGAGTACTGTGTCCAGTTTTGGGCCCCACACTACAAGAAGGATGTGGAAAAACTGGAAAGAGTCCAGCGGAGGGCAACAAAAATGATTAGGGGACTGGAACACATGACTTATGAGGAGAGGCTGAGGGAACTGAGATTGTTTAGTCTGCAGAAGAGAAGAATGAGGGGGGATTCGATAGTTGCTTTCAACTACCTGAAAGGAGGTTCCAAAGAAGATGGATCTAGACTGTTCTCAGTGGTAGCAGATGACAGAACGAGGAGTAATGGTCTCAAGTTGCAGTGGGGGAGGTTTAGGTTGGATATTTGGAAAAAACTTTTTCACTAGGAGGGTGGTGAAGCACTGGAATGCGTTACCTAGGGAGGTGGTGGAATCTCCTTCCTTTGAGGTTTTTAAGATCAGGCTTGACAAAGCCCTGGCTGGGATGCTTTAGTTGGGGATTGGTCCTGCTTTGAGCAGGGGGTTGGACTAGATGACCTCCTGAGGTCCCTTCCAACCCTGATATTCTATGATTCTAAGTGTTAATTAATCCTTCACAAAACACAAGAACCAGGGATCACCCAATGAAATGAATAGGGAGCAGGTTTAAAACAAAAATAAAGAAGTACTTCTTCACACAACACACAGTCAATCTGTGGAACTCATTGCCAGGGGATATTGTGAAGGCCAAAAGTATAACAGGTGTTCGGATATAGATATTCAGGCCTGTCTGTAAAGGCCTGTACTTTAAGAATTTAGGTGTATTCTTATCACTTGGCTAGTTAGAGGTATAAAAGAAAGAATCAAAATCACTGTCTGCCAGTGTAAGGTCCTTCTCTTACTGTGACAGTCTGAGGCCCTGTTCTTAGGCTAAGGCCTTTGGCTAAGCAGCAGAGGCAGCCATAAGCTAGGAAGCGAACAGTCACATCCTCACATTCCAAACTAGTCACATTGAAATAAGGTGCTATTGGGCTGTCAGGCACTATCAGGACAGGATTGTATTCCTATCACCTCCAGAGAAAAGGAAGTGCCTAGAAAATGTAAAAGGAAACTTAGTTTGATAGCATCCTGTCTGGCAAGAACTCACTTATCAATAGCTGGGATGTGAAATCCTCACTTCTGTATTGTTTTGTCATTATAGTTCCCACTTTGCTATTGTTTGTCTGTATAATCTCTGTCTGGTTCTGTGATTGTTTCTGTCTGCTGTATAATTAATTTTGCTGGGTGTAATCTAATTATTGTGGTGGGATATAATTGGTTAGCTAATCATGTTACAATATGTTAGGATTGGTTAGTTAAATTTCAGTAGAATGATTGGTTAAGGTATAGCTAAGAATATTACCATATAAATTAGGGGCAAACAGGAAGTAAGTTGGGATTCGAAAATAAGGAAAAAGGAACTTGTATTTAAGCTTGCTGGAAGTTCACCCCAATAAACATCGAATTGTTTGCACCTTCGGACTTCGGGTATTGTTGCTCTCTGTTCATGCAAGAAGGACCAGAGAAGTGGGAGAGTGAAGGAATAAGCTCTCTAACAACAGGGTTCAAAAAAGAATTAAATAAGTTCCTGGAAGATAGGTCCATCAATGGCTATTAGCCAAAATGTGCAGGGATGCAACCCCATGCTCTGTGTGCCCCTAGCCTCTGACTGCCAGAAGCTGGGTGTGGATGACGGGATGGATTGTTTGATGACTGCCTGTTCTGTTCATTCTCTCTGAAGCATCTGGCATTTTCCACTGTCAGAAAACAGGATACTGGGCTAGGCAGACCATTGGTCTGATGCAGTATGGCTGTTCTTATGTTCTAAGCTGACTGGAAAATGGAAGGCGTATGTTAGAGCAGCCTTAAGATTGCTACAAAGGTATGTCAAGATTGCTATAAAGGCTGCTCAAAGTCTGTTCTGGCAGCTACAGGGATAGCCCAGCCACACCCATTATCTATTGGTTTCTCCCCAAGGGCACGTATGGGGGTGATCTAGAAACCACTATGGCAAACTGGGAGAATCCATTGGGTGGGGGGTCAAATTGGCTCGTTTTCTGGCTGCTTTGCACCCCCTGAGCAAAGCAAAGCAGCCGGCATGCACGTTAGGACCTGTTCCAGTATCTCTAACTATGTTTCTCAGACATTTGTTTGTTTTTCTAAGCGGTTTTAAGCATGGTGCCGAAAGTGCTAAGGTTATTAAAAAATAATGTCCTAAAAGCTTCTCCTATGTTTTGCAGCTTAAAAGCATTGAAAATATATATTATGTTCCGGTGTTTTGTGTTTTTTGTTCTGGCTTCATTACTCTAATGTCTCTACTTTGAATGGCATGGCACTAACTGCTAATGTTCCTACTCTACCCAGATCATTCTGAAATATTCCGCCACTTTTGTTTGTGTTCCAATTTTCTTTTATCATGAAATTACTATAAGTGTGGGATTTTCAAAAACACCTACTCATCTTTCATGGGGCTTGTGCTCCTAAGTCACTGAGGTGCTTTTGAAAATTCCAGTTACCACTTCTTCCATTTGTTTTGCCTTTCCAAAGTTTGCTGTGTTAAAAGTAAGTATCATTGTCATCTCAATTTCGTACTAACAAACAGAGAGAGATTAAGGTCACTCTGGCTAGGATGCAGCCAAAAATACACATATTCAGTCCTTCCCATGTACATAAAATAATAGGCCAAATTCTCACTGCAGCAGAGCTCTGCTCGGAACAGCCAAAGGGAGAAGGGGGTAGAGTATACCCTGACAAAGGTGTTTTTAAGCCTCCCTGCACTCAGGGACACTGGAGCTGATTTGTCCACGAGCGTAACTTAGAGCAGTCCAGTTATGGTGTCCAGGGATACACAGAGCTCAGCAATATTCTGGCCCTACTTGTGACATACTTCTTACACTAAGAGGGTCCCCAAGCAGCTGGATCTGCTAGATTTCTATATGGTTTGCATTACTGAAGTGGTACAAAGCAGACCAGGAGCTATGGGGCTGCTGGAGGATCAGACTCTGGGAGTTGGCCACTTTCACAATGTACAAGAAGAAATTGCAGTATGAATGGGGAAGCGGTTGTGTTCCATTCTCATAAACTACTGCTTCCAGTGGTAAGTCTGCTCTTTCTACTAACGTCTTTGATTTTTCTATTACTTAGCTACTCTGGCACCACACATATAGGTAGTTACTACAGTTTTATGCTGTCGTGACTCCATTGATCTCAGTGGAGACTCAACAGCATAAAACTGGTGTAGGGCAATACCTGAACCTGCAATACTTACAGAGACAAAATTCTTTTATGGGTGTGTAAGAATTAGACTCCAAGACTTCCCATTAAGATAAAAAAAGCTTATAACTTTCACAAAAAGACACATTAGCGGAGCTAAAATGTAACAAAAACTCCACATGCCTACACCTATCCAGCACTAGCTCATGGTTCAAACAAAACCACAGCTTTGGCCATTACTAGTCTCATGTTTTACAACTGGAATCTTACTAACCATACTGTGTAAAATAGACGACTTTTTTAGTGTAACTGTCTTTGCAAAACAATGCTTTGGGAATTGTAACTTTCAAGAAACAGGACTATGAAACCTGTTTTTTATCCCTGCCTCTATTGACCTGTGCATGTGAGATGTCATTAAGGTTTTTCTGACTGAAGGCAGCTCAGGATGTTATCACCTTACCTGGATGAGTGTATAGTTGACTTTCCACTGTTTTACCAATGCACTGCAGTTTAACAGCTTGAAGGGATTCATCCACATGCATGATAGTTGGCAAGCTGCCCAGAGTATCATGCACCAAGTTTGCCACCTCTCGCACATCAAAGAGCTTCAGCAGCTCAGAGTATACAGCTGGGAAGGAGCAGAGAAAAACAGCCTAAAGAAGAAGGTTAAAAAATACCAATTAAATACATAGAAACACCCTTGAAATTTTCAGCATTTACAGAATGACCAGTGACAAGAGCATCACATACTTTTAGCAGCCATGGAAACCTATTTTCACGTTTCAATTTCAAGTTATAAAATGTGATACAGATTTGAAACATTCAAATCAATCTGTTAGATTTTCAGAAGAAATATCCTCATGTTACTCAGATTTAAAGCTATATATTTATTTTCTTTTAAAACACGATTCAGCCTATTATTTAAGGTTCTTTGTTTTTCTCTCTCATGAACATCCCAACTTTTATCAAATAAAACAACTGAACTTTGACTACAGATACTTTATCACTTACAGGCTTCACACGAGCCACAAGTAAGATGAGGTTATTCGCTCACAAGGACAACAGAAACTGGCAGATGCCACGAACAGGTGACATTGAGGTTCCTTTAGGTAAGGAATACAACAGTGTCTCTCTCATTTTTTTCCAGTATTTAAAGAGGTTATTTTGGATGGAAACAGCACTTTAGAAATCTAAAAATAGAGCTAGTAGTTCATTGGAGAAAGAAATGGGTTTGGAGGATAAACAAGAAATACTGAAGAAAAATAAAGTTATGTTACATAAAGATAGTTACAACCTGGAATGTCTTTCCTTCTACCTTTCTGACCCTACTTCATTGAAATGAAAATCACTTATTCGAGCCAACCCTCATCTCCTTTTAGTATTCGTCCCAGTGTGGATGATGTAAACAGCTAGAAAGTTAAAGATACTACTTGGAATGTGGGAAAATCCCAGAGTTGCTCATTTATATGATTTTGCCCAAAATACTTCAGTTAAGCTGCTCATATGAGATCTGATGGAAGAATTTGGCCTAATCATCTCTCTGCTCTTTGCCTACTAATTTTGTCTTTTCCTGAAACATGGAAAAGCTCAAAGGGATGAACTATCATGGAAAAGCAGATCTTTGGTCAGGAGAATATGCCATGGAGTGGGCTGGGGATGCACTGAAACATTTTCTGAAGATACCTAGTGTCCAATATTTTCCCCCAAAAATGAGAGCTCTGTCATTGTATAAAATTTTGGATTTATAGAGTTGTTCTCAATGTGTTTTGACCACTGCCTTTTGCAGTGGTCAATTTTAATAGGCCCAGTGTAACTTAAGAATCTGATTAAAGCACAATGTGCACATTAGAAAGATTATTATATTAAATCTTTAAAAGTGAGAAATCTTTTTGGGGGTTCAAGAGACCAGGTTTCAAGGTGCTTAAACAAGCTGGGCAATGATGCAACACTGAATACCCAAAATCATGTGAAGACACAATTTGATTTCTGTTTTGCAGTTATGATTTCTTCTAACAATTGGAGCAAGTATTAACAGACTACAATCCTTTTCCGATTCAGAACAGACAGTCTGGCTAAGGTAACCCTAGTTCTGCTATTCAGAAGTTGGAGGTACAGAAAACTTTCATTATAAAAGCCACAACCGGTTCAAGCATAAACTGGAACTATCAATTTACTAAGGACAACATGAATTTGACCTTCTGTGTAACAAACACACACGCACACACATTTTCCCATTGAATATTGGTAACGATAATAATCCAACAGAGTAAACTCATGATACTTACTTGTGATTGAGTTAAAGCGCTAGCCCCTTTGCTCTCTTGGGAAAGGAAAAATCGTATTGACATAAGCAGCTCTTGAATACAGCAGCGGAATTCCTCCTCATTTTGTCCACCAGTAGCAAGCGAGAAAAGCCTCCGAGACTGAACTATATATTTAAAGACATATTCTTGTGCCTACAAATGCCAAAACACAAGATCCTGAATCATATTGAACTCATTATTCTTTAAAATTAGTAAATATAAAACATAGCGAAATTATATAATTCAAACGTATTTATAGCACTTGTCAGTATGGAGAACATGCCATGTAATTCTGGAAAGTTTTTAATCTTCTTATTAGCAGCAATCTACTGCCAATCTTTTAATAAGGCCTCTCAACAATTTTTACTCTTTTTCCTTTAATAAAATCTATACACCAGGGAGCACTTGCTCATCAAGAGGTGGCATTGAGGACTAGGAAATCTAGTTATTTGTTTTCCCATTTCAAAAAAAGGCTTTCCTCTTAACAATAACCAGAGAATGAGGCAACATCAGTGACAAAACAAACTGACCTTAAGTTGCAAATTGCTGGAGTATATATTAAGTAGATTGATAATATAACACAATGTTCAACTTCAAGTAAGAGGTGAGGCGAGACCTTATCCAAACAGCTGCAAGTGAGGAGGGAAATGGACGACAGAGAGGCAGTGAAAGAGGAATAGAGAGCGTGACTGATGGTAACTTGGGTTGACTGAAACCAAACCAAAACTCCAGTTTTAATAGAACTGTCTGGGACATAAGGACTGTCTCATTAAATTGCTATTTCTGGTCACAGGAGTCTTCTATTTTATCACAGACTTAATTACCACGTGTGTAATCTACATAAGGTTTCCTGAAACCAACTACTATCCGTATTGCAATCAACAAATGAGTCCTCAGTTCCCGAGTTCTACTGGAGTCAACACCATGAATCAACTCTTTTCACAATTAAGAGTTTCCAGAAGGGCGAATAAACTGACTGATTGTACCCAACAGGTGTGTGAGTGCACTGAACAGGTTTTGTAATTCTCACAATGCATATGAAATCAATTGATTTCAATTAGTACTGCTATACAAATGCACTGGTCAGGTATATTATTGTCTCTGATGATTTCTATTACCTTTAACACTTCATGGATATGCTCTTGTATCTCCATGTCTGTTACTCGATCAACATGCCACTTAAGTACTTTTATAAGATCTCTAGAACATAAAAAGGAAAATGATTACAGTGCAGAAGCGTGGAAAGCATTATTTAACAAATTTCTTAGTATGGACTATACTAATTTAGGATTTGAAATGTGAACAAATAGCTTTCATAAAATAAACACAAAAAAAGTTTCGGTAACACAAGGTGTCTTCTTCCAGCAATTACCAGTTTGCTCAACTTGCAAAAGCAGTCTATTGTACATAATAACAGGGCCAAACTTTCACTTAATTGTAGATCTGCTACAAAGTCATCTGATTGTTAATTAACAATTTGACTGTAGTATTAAGTATAAACACTTAAATAGCTTTTGATAAAGATGCAAAAACTCATTTAATGCATAAGACCAAATCAATCTGCATTTAAAATAGTCTCTGCTTCTCCCTGAAGTCATGTGATTTTGGATTATGATCTCATTAGATCACAAAAACTAAGCAGCATTGGACCTGAGCAGTACTTAGGCCTTGTCTACACTACGGGGGGAGATCGATCTAAGTTACGCAACTTCAGCTACGTGAATAACATAGCTGAAGTCAACATACTTAGATCTACTTTCTGTGGGATCCACACTACACTATAACGATGCATCGATCATCGCGTGTCGATCCCCCAGTAAGTGTAGACAAACCCTTAGATGGTAAATCAACAACGACTAAGCAGAGTACGGAAATAAGTGATGTACATGATTCAGTACTGTATACTCAGAGAGAGTAGAACACCATGATGGTAGGGGTACTGCACTGCTAGGAGCAGTCTCTCTTGATTTTAGATGCATAAGAAATGTCCTCCAAACCATTTACAGTCATTAAAGATCCCATGGTATTTTTCACAATAATAGGGCTATGAGCCATAGCGTCCTGGCCAAGTTTCAGTGTGGATACTTGCATTCTGAATACCTAAGAATCTTCAGTTGGATATAGTACAAAGACGCATGCACATATTTAACTTTAAAAGTATTGTGCGTAGTTCCACTGAAGTCAGTGGGACTTTTCAGGGCATAAATTTAAACATGTATGTAAGCCTTTGCAGAATATGCACCATGATCTTCACTTTCTGCCCTAAACAGTTATATAGCCATATAACATCCTCCAGGTGGCTGCGGTTCATCATGAGATGAATAATAAGGTTATTAGAATTTACAGTCCAAAAAACCCAGACACCAATTGCCGCATTTCAGGTGGGCCTGAATAAAAGGACACCACTGGTGAGATCAGCGTTGGAAAAGTTTGGGGAAGAAGTGGGTTTTAAGTTGAGCTGGTTGAGGGGAGCAGAAGGGTGAGAGATGGACAGAATATTTTGCAAAATTTTCCCCAAGATTTTTGAAATTTAACATTTAAAAATTTCAACTGGCTCTAGTTTTAAGCTCTAGCTTGCCATAGCATGTTACATAAAGAGGAATGCACTTTATTTATTTATTTTTACTTGATGTTCAAATCCAAGATCAATATCTGGTTTTCACCCATTATGCTCAAGTTAAAGATAGAAGACTATTCAAAGTCTAGTTCTTAATCCAATATTAGAACTGAAAGAAGTAATTTCTCTGATCATTTAAAATTATTTCAGCTATTATTGGACTTCATTTTGGAGATTAAAATATAGTATCAGAAGAAACTAAGTTCAACACATTTATTAATTTAATTTTATGGCTGGCTCTGCTTAGTACCTATAATTGTCAAAATTCCAAACAGTTACAAAAAGTTAGGACCCTACCTGTATGCAAGTGCACCTGCAAAATGACTTTCAATGTAAGTGTCCATTACTGGCTTAAAATGATGAAACTTGCTGTCCTGTAGCAAATTTATTATGTGAACCTAAAGAAAAAAGGAAAAAGAAAAATTATAATGCCCTTTTCTCATTTGTTAAAGTGTTACAATCTTATTTAAAAATTATCAAGTATCTTTATTGTAAGCATGGTTATGCAGAACCATAAAGTACAACTTACCAAAGAATCAAATACTTTTGACCCATATTTTTGGGAATTTTCATCTAAAATGCCAAATAAAGTATCCAGTGTGTCTTGAAGAAACTATAAGTGGAGGAAGAATAACAAGAATTTATTATCAAATATACTTCTTTGTAAGATGTAAAGAAATTATTTTCCTTATATTAGTTAATTGCAAAAGAAACAAGGAAATAACAATGTATACCTTTACTATTTCTGAACCATCGATTTCTTTTAATTTTGTGAGGCAACCTGCTATTTTGTCTGGGTGGGCTCTCCACTTAAGAAGGTCAAGCATATCCCCTGCAAAAAATACACTGAAGATTAAAGCTGAAAGAATGCCAGCACTTTAGATTTTAAAATTCTTCAGTTGCAACCTATATATGAAAACTGAGTTTACATCATCTAATAAAGGAACTGCCTAGGGTCTGCAGTAACATGATCTGGCCAGCTTGTTCAGCCAAAACTTGAAATTGCTCCATTAATAATTCTGAACACTTTTCTTCTTCAAGCAACTATGCAGCATATCTTTGTTTAAATGCAACTTTTGGATGACGCAACTAGCAATGTAACTTGATTCTTGGATCATCTTTGACTCATCAAATGAGACTGGCTAAAGACAGTAGGGAAAATATTTATTTTCACTTTTTTTCTGAAAGAACTAGATGGATAGAGGGTTGATTCTCATTACAAAGGATTTGTTGGGGATAAAAAAATGCAACTCTAAGATGTTCACTTCAAAGAAATCATTTAAGGGGCAAAATACAACTAGAGAATAGTCAAGTATAAATGAACTGAACTGAGTACAAGAACAATATGAGATATGAGAATCCCAGGTGACCGGGAAAAGAGACAACCACTTTCACATGTCAAGAGAAACCAGAAAATGAAACAGTTCTCAACAGAGATATAGGAATATAACAAACCCTTCAGGAAAATGGAGGTTTGAACAGGGAAAAAGTCAATGGTGGTGAAAAAAAATTGCACTCAAGAGGAGAGAAAAACTCACATTTCACAGGCCTACTCTTTAAACATGAGCTGATTTGTTAGTTTGATAAATGTTTCTCTGGTAAAGTCAGACCTAAGTCTACCCATGTCCTAAATTCTCAGTCTGCGCGCTAGGAGACCAGCAACATTGTGATGAGGCCACATCGATCAACATCCATCACAAACACAGAGGCTCTGAAGAAACGCAACAAGAAAAAGAAGCTAGTGAAAAAGCTGGGTAAAAAAGTATGATGCCTTCCTGGCTTCAGAGTCACTGATCTAACAGATTCCTCGTATCCTAGGTTCAAGACTGAACAAAGCTGGTAAGTTCCCCTCTCTCCTCATTCACATTGAGAACACGGTGGCCAAGGTCAATGACGTCATGTCAACTATCAAATTTCAAATGAAAAAGGCTGTGGCTGTGGGACATGTAAAAACGACGGAGGACTAGCTAGTCTACAGCATTCAACTTGTCACTGACTTCCTGGTGTTCCTGCTGAACACCAACTGGCAGAACAGGCACCACGGGGAAACCACAGCACCTCTACAGAACTGGCTGTAATAACTGGTTTCAGAGCACTCAAAACAAAAACTAACAATGAAACCAAAACACTAAAAAACAAAAACAAAACACAAAGCAAAACCAAAAGAGGATATCAAAGAACAGTCTCAAGTGTACATAAAGAATATTTATGAGAAGAAAGGATCTGGTTGTCTGTGAGTAGTTTCTCTGACAAAATCAGGCTGGATGGCTGCAAGAGGGTGCTAGAAGGTAGATACATTAGCCCCAGAATGTTGAAGGCCCTCTTCCCTACTAGCTGAGAAGTTACCTCAGGTCAATGAGAGACACCTGATTCCAATTAAGGCTGCCTGAGGCCTTTAAAAACCCCTCCTCTGGTGAGAGAAAGGGGGAAGAGAGAGAGAAGCTGCTGCCAGGCTAGTGGCAATAGGGAAATAAGCGTCTCCAGGGTGAGAGGCTGTGCTCCTTCCCATAGGGGAAAGAGCCAAACCTGAGTGCCTGCCAGGGGAAGGACTGACACCCCAGAGCAACCAACAGGGCGACACCCTGCACCAGTGAGGAGACAGCGAAAGGTACCCACCTTGGGTTTTGTTTGTTTGTTTTTGAGTCTGTTTCCTTTTTGTTTGGTGAAGGATCACCCCTTAGGACAACCCTCAGGCCTACCCTGAAAATATGACCACGGGAGAACCGAAGGGGGAAGGCAAACCGTGCCTGAGTGGGGCTGATTACCCCAGGCCCACCATCGCCAGGGGGGAAGCGCTAAGTGTGGTGAGACGAAGAAGGTATCCTGCCACACTTCCTTGCCATCATGAATTGTACTATTAGGCATACAGAAACCAAACCAAGAATCTTATGTGGTATAGTGGAACAACTCAAAACACAAATCTTCCTGTATGCTTCATCATAGATTATATATTCACAACACTAACAGGAATATAAGGTTATTTTAACTAATCATAACTCGCTAAATGATCCTTGACTTAAAAGGGAGGGGAAAGCAATGTCATATCAGAAAAGCAATAAGCAAAAAGCAATCTAAATAAATAAAAACTGCTTTACCCTGAAGCCTACAATAAGCATGTTTTAAAAAAATAACACTAACAGATTAAGAGATTTTTCAAAGCAGCTGGATTTTGATGACTCATTCTAAAAATAACGTATGTAATTCCAATATTATGTTAATTTAAAAGCATCCTTGAACTGCATAAAATCAATGGTTCACCATGTACCATTTGTTTCCATCCGGTCATCAAAAGTAAGGAAAAATACTGTTTTTTAAAGCCCCAAAAGAGAGCATCGGCTATCTTTTATGTCATAACACGAGTGCTTTAGTGCCCATTTAGTGTTTAGTGCCCATTTAGCCCACCCATCAAATTCACTTGAGTTCATCATGTTTAAATAATCAACATATCATCTTACCATTTTGTGTGAGTTTAGTGGAGCAGAGAAAAGACGTAATCCAGAAAGACTCTTTAGTGGTTTTTATTGCTTGGTGGTTATTCCCTAGGAGAATTCCCTTTGAAAAGGGGAGTTTGAGGTAGCGACTAGAATCCTGAAGGTTTGTGTTTTCTTCACACTGTGAAAATAACCAAGTTAAAATCATTGCAATGAATAAAAACAAAGGACTCATCTTGTGCAAACTGGTAGCTCTGTTGAAATCAATGGAGCTATGATAATTTTCACTAGCGGAGGCTCTCACCCAAACTGCATTGCAACAAGCCAAATCTCTTAGAAACAGTATGTTTTTTGTTTCAAAAACTTTACATACAAAATGTTGCATTGTCTTTGTTGCTGACTGCTTTATTTTATATAGATACCCTACAATCTTTCATCAAGCACTTCTCAAAACACAGAACTTAAAATAATGCACATACATATCATTGAATAAATTATGAACCAACCAGACAGGTCTCTTAAAGATGTTTAAACATTTATAAGAACAGCACAAATGTCCAAAGATTAGATTTGCATTATAAATGCACAGAGAAACAGCAGAAAAACTGAGCACCTGATATTTTAAATCACCCTGTTTCAACAATATACTTAAACATCTAGTATGTTATCGGTACTAGAGTCTAACACAACAAAACGTTTTTACAAGTCTTATTAATTCTTTATGTCTTCTCTCCAGCAGAGTCTGTCTCTGGCCTTCTCAGCCACTGACTGGCTCCAGAGCCGGCTCAACTCTGGACAAGAGGAGTCTGTTGCAGAATTAAAAATGAATAGAGTTTTCAAACAGCAAAGTTAGAAATAATTTTAAGCTTGCATCTCAGCATACCAAGAATGTTTGCCTATACAAGAGATTTCATGGGTAGCTCTTGTTATAGATGGGAAAATCCTCATTGGATCTGTGCGTTTAGATCGTACCCACACATCTGGTGTAAAACACTACTCAGTCTGCACAGTTTTTTGAACAGAGCAGCACCTACATATTGCAAGTTGTTATATTTATTAGGAGTAGATCAAATTCCATCTCAACACAGATAAAATCTTGAATGCACATTTGAATGAAAAAATTTAAACAGACCGCACATAGCAGATCTGCTGAAGAATAGCAGGCCCTGGAGGGGTCAACCTGGTCAAATATACTCCAAAAGTGGCTATCATTTTTACATTGTGACAATTTTTAGCTTTATGGAATTCTTTATGCAACTGAGGTTTTCTTCAAATCTACATTCTGAGATACTGCGACTTTACAGTACATGCTGCATTGAAATACATAACGAGGTTCAACTGCAATTATAAACAGAATGTTGAGAGGATATTTTAACAATAAGACTATCACTCATTTGCTAACAGTTCAGTCTTCTTTTGTTTAATGCCTCTGGGCATTTGGAGTACTTTTCAGAGGAATCATCACAGAATGATTTCTGACTGATATTACCTTGTGCACAATGAGTTCATGAGTGCCATCTGGCAATGTCCTCCCATTTTCCTGAATCAGGGGCACGAAAGAAAAGCCAAACAACTTCTTCTCGCCCTTTTCTTTTGCTGAAAACATATATAAATAAAACCACTCACATTCTGGACTTAGATTTATACTGCATGGCGTAGCATTTTTCTTTACTGCACTGTTAGCTTGAGGTATAACCTGAGTGTTGCCCCAACCCAACTCCTGTCCCCACACACATAAATCTCTAGCTTGCGTTAAGTGGTTCTTTAAACTTCAGCTAGCTGGCCAGTCAGGAGGAATAAGGGGGTGGAGAAAGGGGGTCATTGAGGATTAAGTGCTGCTGACACTCTGCTAATAGTGCTATAGCTATAGGGATGCAGCAGCTCCAGTTACAACAACTCATCCACTGCTAATGCAATCATTCTGTGTAGCTTCTGTGTTGTTTCCCAGTATGGTTGTTCTCACTTGAGCTAGGCTAGTAGAGTGGAGTAACTTGAGTGCACTTACGCTAACCGTTGCAGGGAAGAAAAGCCCTTAGACAAAGCAACTGAAAATAATCCAACGCGTGAATGTGTATATTCGGGTTATCCATTTACATCTAGTTAGCACCAGCACACCTTATGTCTCTTTTCATGTTTATGAAGTAAATCCCCTTCCTAAGGTTATGAGTGTGTTGTTTTCTCCAAATTCCAAAAAGTTACTTCGAGGATATGCGATGAACCTGTAATTTCTTTGATGTAATTTACTGCAGATGGGCCCAATTCAAAACCTTGGACCCAACATCCTGAAATTCTAGGGTAGCTGAGATCCACACCTGAGCTTTGCAGCTCAAAGTTTTTACAACTGTGCGTATGCCTTGTGTTTTAGCTCTGAGTGGCTTCTTTTTTTTTTATTATTAATGTTATATAAAAACCAGAAAGTCAGAAAATGTCTACCTCCAATAACAACATTATCATGGCTACACTACAGGTATATGCAATACTTTCTGTTACTGGGTTAGACTGCAACATGTGTAAATGAACAAATATCATTATGCAATTGGCCAAGTTAATTCTGGGATTGGATTTTGCATTTCCTGAATTTGTGTTCAAATTTGCACCCTTCATGTTGCATTTTTCCATTTAATAAAATGAGGTCAGTTTCTCAAGGTATTACATTTTTTTCCTATTTCACCAAAGCAGACTGCAAAACCTGAAAAGCTCTGTCATGAAGCTTTATAGGTAAAGAATATTTACCCCATGTCTCTCTGCTGTTTAGATGTTATGAAATTCAATACCCTTAATGCAACTGTAACACAAAGCAATACAATAAATCGTGAACAACGCTTACTAGAACAATGCCGAAATTCAAAGCGGATGTGTGCTCCCCTGAATTTATCCACAGGAATAGGAAGTTTCAGCAGCTCAGCCCATCTGGGACTGTTGTTGTGATAAAGCACAAAGGAATGGAACTTGCTAGCTGGCGGCTCTCCAGAGCCAAAGGAGATAAAATCCTAATGAAGAAAACAACTGGGTTAAAGGTTTAAAGATGGATTAACTATAAACTGACGTGAGAACAGCCCTGAAATTGGTGTTCTCCAGGCTCCACGATCTTCAGGATAATCTAAAATAAACTTGTTCTCTCTTGTAATACTGTGTCCCTGCATTCATGGGGAATGTAATTGTGTATTCCCTGAAGGTGGTTAGCACAGACTTTGGATTGCCTTGTGGTCTATGGATTCCTCTCTGTAGGGTAGCAGGAGGGCAGGCTGATTTCTATTGTTCCAGTCTCTGTGCTGGCTGCACGCTTCCTATGGGTAATATAAATTACCATCAGTAAGCTGGAACACACTCTTCATCCTTTGCACCCATGACCCTATCACTTTTTTACATGTAATATGGGCCATTTGTTTTGGAAGTTTCTTCACTTTGAAATTTCAGGTTATCTATCATTACATATAGGACATAAGTGGTGCTTACTAGCATGCTAAGGGCAAGAGCTGGCCATCAAATCTGGAGAAGGGAAGGAATATTTGCCCCATTCTTGTGTGATATGATGGTGGTGATTTTGGATTTCCTCTAGAGCAGCTAGCAGGTACCACAGCTGTGGGCTCTGCAAATGTCTGAGCTTCACCTAGTGTTATTACATGAGGGTGAGGTTTAGCCTTATTCATTTTGTCCCAACTTTGCAACTGGCAAAAGTCCATTCTGATTTGGTGCATTAGCAGGGTCACATCTCACCACACCCTGACCGTAGCTGGAAGTGGGTGGGAGGATATGCACTGATGTGGCATCAGTGTGTAAATGGGAGCCAGATTTAATACTGTACAAAGATTTAGCACATTCCATGTGTGGCCTCTCATTCTCCTCTCAGGTGAGAGACCATTTAGGGGACTTCAGTCTGTTTGGTCAAACATTAAAGTGACTCAACACATGCAGACCTAACAGGCTATGATTTAAATGGAACAGGAAAAAACAGGAAGGATAATGATTGGGAGTCTTGATTGATAATAAGAAAAGGAGTACTTGTGGCACCTTAGAGACTAACCAATTTATTTGAGCATGAGCTTTCGTGAGCTACAGCTCACTTCATCGGATGCATACCGTGGAAACTGCAGCAACATGCTGCAGTTTCCACGGTATGCATCCGATGAAGTGAGCTGTAGCTCACGAAAGCTCATGCTCAAATAAATTGGTTAGTCTCTAAGGTGCCACAAGTACTCCTTTTCTTTTTGCAAATACAGACTAACACGGCTGTTACTCTGAAACTTGATTGATAATGAAAGTGCTCAATAAAAGCTGCAGGCTGAGGCATAGCCATCTCTGCCTTGTGTCTTAATCCAAGTCCTACTGGGAGCAATAAAGACACCATCAGACTGCATTTTGTATTCATCACAAAAAAAAGGTAATTTTCAAAGAAATGTACCTGGAATTGTAAGTGAAAATATTGGGAAGTCAAGGACACTTGTGTGCCTATGAACGTTTTAGACAGGTAGTACTTAAGGTTCCATTTGAGTAAACAACTTAGGCAAATGCTCAACTTTAAGCATATAAGCATTTCTACTTAACATGGTGCTCTGCTGGATCTGTGCCTATGCTTCAAATTCAGGAAAGTATTTAAGCACATGCTTCATTATAAGAATGTGCATAAGGCATATTGACTTAAATGGGAATTAAGCATGCACTTTAAATACATGCTTAAATACTTTCCTGAAGAGGGATACTTTCCCGTATTTGCACTTTGGAATGTAAAATCCATTATAGGCTTTTAAGAGATTGTAGAAATAAGTGGGTGGGTCTGGGAATGGCCCATTTATTTAAATTGGCAAGTCTATTTTCAATATAATTAAGTGCACTAACTATGCTCTTAAACTAATGGGTTAATTTCCACATAGTAATAACTATTAATTAATTAAAATTACTTCATTTGCTAATCTTTGTTGCGTTTTCTCTAAACATCAAATAACTGAAGGATATATTTGAATGTGAACATATTTATCAGAGGTTTTCATTTTTATTTTTAAAAACCTTCCTCAATATTAAAGTATTGCAACATTAAAAGTTAGCGACCACAAAAATATCCAGAAAACCTATGACCAAATAAACAACAACAAAAATGGAAGACCGTGTGAGTGGTTTGCAAAAATGTATTAGCTATCACTGATTGACTAAACTACAGTAGTTGGGGTAGCAAATAGCTTATTCTAAGGAGAAAGAATTCAAATTTAATTTATATCTCATAGTACAAGTGAAAATATTTGCTCTGAGGCCAGTTATCACAAATCTTTACCTAATATGCAGTTTAGCAATATGGCCTGTTAATAGGACGTTCAGGTAAAGGTTAATATGACAAATCATAATATCTGCCAGGAAATAAAAAAGGATTTTGAGAAAAAAACTATAGTTAATAGTTTAAATTAACAATATTTGCTCAGCATCAACACTAAACACAAGCCTTCACTCTCTTTTTGTTTTTCACGGTTAGTGTCAAAGTAGTACCTTTAAAATTTGGCCACAACTGTCTACAATGTGCATCATCACTTCCACGTTTCTGGCCACACTTTTTCCTCCTTTTTCAAATTCTCCTCTTTCTATAGTGATGTACAAATCATTCCTCATTTCGCCTACAGAAAGAAAACATAAAACCCAAAAGTATAAGGGGCAATGCAAACCACATTAATGCAACCTGAATTCTGTGGGAAGGAAGTAGAGAAGCAAATTCCATATGAGAATGCTAAATCCCTTTTAAGTGTATGTTTCAAAGTAAAAGCCAGTCTGGTTTTGGCTCTCTCTAGGGACGGGATTAATTAGAGCTGTTTAGGAGCAAATGGACAGAACTCCCAGTGAAACTATGTCAACAATTAGGGACCACAACCATGACTTTAGGAGCTTCCTCTTCAGGTCTCACCTCTAGGTTTGGTAGAAGTCAAATTGAGGCTACACCCCTATAGCAAGCGGAGTCCAAACTGTAGAATAAAGTTAGATATGTTCCATAATTTAAATATTGCCCCTTAAATAGTACAGTAAATTGTCTATCAGGGTTTAGTGAACATCAAGCACAATACTTTTGTGGGTCAGTTTATTTAAAGTTTACTCTAATCTGGCCAGTTCACCACAACTGGTAGATCATCCAAAAAGAGGTTGTTCTATAAGAAAAATAAGAGCTCTCACTGTGCTGACATGAAACATACGGATCCTAAAGGACAGAGATAATACATGAAGACCTGAAAGATGTACAGCATTGACTGTAAGGTAACTTGCTAGATGCAGCATCACGTAGCTACCTCCAGCAAAACCAGATTTGCAGATGAAGGTTACACAAAGGAATTAGGAGATGGTTATACCTTCATTCAGAAAGGGAAAGCAAAGGAGGAAAACAGAATTTATGGCATTGGTTTTGCCATTAAAAACAGTTTCCCGAAATCAGTGAAAGACTTACCTGTGGGCAAAAATGAACACTTAATGACTCTATGAATTCCCTTAGAAATTCATGCTTTGTGATTCTTATCAGTGCTTATGTTCCAACCATAAAAAATACAGAAGAACTAAAAGAACAGTTCTATTCTGATTTGGAGGACACAATCAAATCTACGCCCAGTGAAGACAAACTCATACCTTAGGGAGACTTTACTTCCAGAGCTGCAAAAGACAGTGCAGACTCCAACTAGTCTAATAAAGAACTATGGTATTAGAAAAATCATCAACAACAGTCTTCTCCTTCTCAGGAAGTGTGCTGAACATGAGCTTGTTATTATCAATACAATCTTTAGGAAAGCTGACAAATATAAAACTTCATGGATGCATCTGAGATCAAAGCTCTAGCACCTGATTGACATTATACAGCAAAGAGACATTAGGGACATCAAGATGAGCCAACAGTTGGACTGATCACAGGATGACCAGAGCCATTTTCATTTTACATGTGGTATTTCACTCATGAAACAGTGCCAAACAGATCAAACTAAAATTGAACATAGCAAACTTGAAACATCCATTTCATCAGGGAAAACTGAGAGGAAAAAATTTGATAGCATTACATCACCCAAAACCACATTCAAAGTGGTATATACTGAAATCAGCCATCCTCCAAGCAACAGAAGAAACTCTAGGCAAAAATCAAAGATGACACCAGGATTGCTTGGATGAAAATTATGATAAAAACAAAAATCTAAAGGAAAAGAGAGATGCATTTATGGCTTGAAAAAACAAAGAATCAACATCAAAACAAAGATAAATTCAAGTGCCTGCAAGCCAAGGCTCAAAAACAGCTTTGTGTTCTACAAGATAACTGGTGGGAAAAGAAAGCAGAAGAAATACAGCATTATGCCAATAGTTACAACACAAAGTTGTTTTATAGCTCCCTGAAGGCCATTTATGGCCCATTGAAATCAGGTCCAGCTCCACTAAAGAATTCAGATGGATCTATCTTAATCAAGGACAAGACAGGCAACTCCGAAAGATGTGCCACTTTACTGAGTTACTGAACCTTCCCTCTACTGTCAACTCACAGGTGCCAGAGGAACTAACGCAGCACCTCAAACATGAAGAAATTGTGAAGTTACCTCCTGCTGAAGAAGTGCAAAAAGCTGTGAACAAATGAAGACAGGTAAATCACCAGGGAAAGACAGAACAGCAGGTGAAATCATTAAACTTGAAGGCCTCCTAACTGTCAGCTATCTATATGAAATTATTAAGGATATTCGGGAAATTGAGAAAATTCCGCAAGGTTTCAAAAGATGCAAGCATAGTTATACCATACAAAAATAAAGGCAATGAATCTGATTGTGGCAACTATCAGGTTATCTTCCTTGCTATCAGGGCTCTACTATCAGGGCTTCCCTGCTATCAAGGCTCTTCCTTGGCTCTACTGTTACCAGCAATGTAGATCTGGATGCTGAGCTCACTAGCAGAATCAGCAAAGCAGTCAGGAACTTTGGTCTTTTCCAAGACAGAATCTGGAACAGTAACAAATTGTCAACTAATATGAAAATCCATATTTATGAGACATGCATCTTATGCACTCTTCTATGTAGCTCAGAAACATGGACGACTTATTCCAAACATACCAAAAGACTAAATAGTTTTCATATCAGATGCTTGTGAAAAATTCTTCAAATAAGATAGCAAGACAGGGTGACAAATGTAGAAGTGTTGGTATGTCATTCATGGGAATGTTGATTAGTAAGAAAAGACTCAGGTGGCTTGGACACATCAAGCAAATGCCAGATTACAGGATCCTGAAGATTGCGAACTTCAGAGTACAGAGTACAGCTGTACTCTGAAGTTCACAAAGAGTCTAGAAAGAGAGGTAGAGTGCTGCACAGATTTCAGGATGCTTGCAAAGATGATTTAGTATCCTTTGGAATCTCTGTGGATGACTGGGAAAGGAGTGCAGAACGCAGCTCTGGTTGGTGGAGTCACCTTGTAGATGGAGCTAGGCATTGTGAGGAGGACTGGATCATGCTCTGTGATGACCAGCATCAGAGGAGGAAAGAATCTGCTGCTTGGATTCAGAGCATTGCTCGTGTGTGGGTGTACCCTACCTATGGGACTGTCCCTGATGCATCAGACTCAGCAGTCAAAACTCATCAGCGCATACACCATGCTCTGTAAAGATAGTGTGTGTCATTCTTCTTCTGTCAGCAGGGTGGTAAGATCCTTGCTTGTATTTTGCTCAATTGGCTTGTTGAAACAGTATCAGAGAAACTTCTATCAGAGACCCAATGTGAATTTAGATCAGGTCCAAGCACCACAGGTATGATTTTTTTTGAGAGAGAGACTGATTCAGGAAAATTGCATTCAACAAAACATGGAACTGTATGCTGTCTTCATTAAGCTAAAAAAAGCATTCAACACTGTCAGCACAAATGGTCTCTGGAAAATTCTAGAGATATTTGACTGTCCCACCAAATTTATTAATATCCTTTGTTAATTCCACAAAGACATAACTGATCAAGTATCCTCAGATGATGGTCTCACAAAACCATTCCCCATATCTAAACAGTTTGCACTCCCCATCAGCCTGGGGAAAAAAATGAACTCTTCCAAGCAGCCCCTTCAGCCACGACCACTGAGTCAAATATCTCCACTGATGGTACAAAACTATAAAATGGCTTGGCAGTACCATCTAAAGTGATAGTTCCCTGGATCAAGAAATGTCAAACAGAAAGCCAGGCTTTCAGAAGACCTTGGCACGAGATACTCAACCAGCATACCATCAGTCTTAACAAAATTGATGCTCTACAATGCAGCAGTGACATGGGTGTGAAACTTGGGAGAGTTTACGACAGAAACATCAAGCAACTTGAAAAATTTCACATGCATTGTCTTTGCTGAAGGTTTGCTGGCAAGACAAAGTGTCAAACATTCACATCTTTGGAAGAGCTAAACAATAAGCACTGAGGCAGTGATTTACTGAAGTTCAGCTTCAATGGACAGTATGAGGGGGTCCCCATGGTGCACCCTGCACCAACCTGGAGTATCCCTCTCACACTGTGATGCTGTGTCAAGCCATAAACGCTGGCAGGCACTGAACTTACTCAGACATCCACGGGCAGGGGGACACACAACTGAGTTACATGAATGATCTCTTAGCCACTCATGAATCAACAATAGAGAGGCTCCAGCCAATTCCCCACAACTCCCCAGCTTTGCACCCGAGAGCTGTACTGTCTTACACTGGTCAGAAGGCTGGCTAGTGTAAGTTCATTACCCAGTCTGCCCCTCCCTCGATGTGGAGAGGGCACATACTAGGCTTGGTAAACTGAGCTGAGATTTCCCAAATCCTTCAACCAAAATACACTGTTTTATATATTAACTACAGAAAGATAGTTAATAAATAGATATAGAAAGGTTTTAAGTGATAAGTAGCAAGCGTAGAGATCAAAAGTTGGTTACTTAAGAAATAAAAGTAAATTCTCAGTTTGAGTTCTACAAATGAAATAGGATTTGAAACAAGCAGTGTCTGGCAGCACCCCGGCAGATGGTCCAGATAGGTCACAGATCTTTAATACACAGGCTGGAACTGCCTTCCAGCCCAGGACCACCCTCAGCCAGTTCAAGGTCTTTGTCCTCCAGATGTTTCTTCCAAGTGTTGAGTTGCGGAGGGGCGGGGAGAGGCCAAGTGATTATATCACTTCCCTTCTCTTTTATAGCTTTTGACTTGGGAACCAGGCAGCCCCGTTGACTACATGTTCTCTCTGAGAAGTCTTCTAGGATGGCCGTTGAGAGAGTGGAATCCTTTTAATTGGCCATTAGAGCATCTGGCTACTCCATAGTTGTACCTGAAAGGCTGGTTGTGGGTGTTCCCAACCTCACAATATATTTCAGTAATACACACATAACAAAACTTCCTAACTTCACATACAAGAATAGTACATACAATCCAATGGCTCAAGACTTTTAAAATGATACCTCACAAGGCATACTTTGTACAAAAGATATCATTACATGACAGTGGTGAATATGGGGGTTCCAGGGTGTGACTGAGTGTCACAGACAGGTCATGTTATCATAATGGGTGATGACAGACTCCCAAAAAAGTCCTCTATGGTGAGCTGCAACTCAGAAAGAGCAGGAAGGGTGATCATTCTAAATACTTCAAAGATACCATTAAGTTGTATGT